AAATATATATATAAAACAAAAATTAAAATAACTGGGAAGAAAATACTGCTCTATTAAAAACCAAAAGACCAAGATACCAAAAAGTAACAAACTAGCGTGAAGTATTTAAGTATCTAAATACTCGTAAAGTGAAATCTGTAGCTTCACCATTCATAACAATCTATAAAGGACATCTTAATTCTGTCTTAAGGTCTTAAAAAGACCTTGTGCCTATAAATTTAAATCAACTGATAAGGACACCATTAGTACATATGTATTAGAAATCCTCACCTTTTGCAAAATGCATTCCTAAAAATGTATAAAGAAACATGTAAAATAAGAGGAGTGGGGGCAGAGGGTTTTACCCCAATTAACTTAAAAAAAAAAAAAAAAAAGTTTAAAATCCTTAATGAGATAACTAGGCTCGCGAGGTTGAAAATTTTATCTAAAATCTCACAGCCAGGAAGTGAGATGAGAATTAACAGTCTGAGCACCAAAAACTGTAATCTGAATGAACTGCTACAAAATATAAAGCAATCTTTTCCTTAACATTCTACCAGTCTTGGCATTTAACATCTAAGTTCAAACTCTGATTTCTATTTGCATAAAAGTTACATGATCTTGGGTGGTGGTGGTGCTGCTGCTGCTGCGGGCCCTCAAATCAGTTCCAACTCGTAGTGACCCTACGGGACAGATTAGAGCTGACGCATAGAGTTTCTTAGGTTGTAAATCCTTAGTGGAGCAGATCACCAGGTCTCTTCTCCCACAGAGTGGCTGGTGGGTTCAAACCTCTGACCTTTTGGTTCGCAACCAAGCGCTTAACCACTGCAACAATGTGATCTTGGGTACCTACACCCAAGTTCAGTTTTCTTACTTGGACAATTTTTTTCAATGTTGCTTATCAATAAGAGCAAGAGAAAAATTTCCCACAACAAAATGAGAAGCTAAGTCATGCATAACATTTTAGAAATAAAAAGACCACTCTTATCTAGTAAAACAAGCTGTTTTACAGATGAACTTATCTGTGCCTTGTCACAGGGTCGATTAGTAGCAGAGGCAGGAATGAACCAAAACCTTCTAACTTTCCAGTGATCCCTCCGCTACCTCATTCTACCTCCTTCAAATAAGTTATTTTCATTTATAATATAACCTGCTACTTGAGTGAAACATTATAAATTCTTTCATACATAAATATGCAGAAAAATTTTAACCTATTAAAATCATCTACGAGTCTCATGAACAGTTATTCGTATCTTACCAAAAATTTAGGAGCCATAAACCCCGGTGGCAAGCTACGGCTGCTAACCAAAAGGTCAGCAGTTTGAATCCACCAGGCGCTCCTTGGAAATCCTATGGGGCAGTTAGTTCTACTCTGGCCTATAGGGTCGCTATGAGTCAGAATCGACTCGACGGCATGGGTTGCTTGTTGTTATACTGAATTGAGGAAACAAGAGTTTTTGTCCCCTAGGAGCTCAAAACCTTAGAAAAATTATACTGATTTAGATACCAAAGCAATGACAAAGCTGTATGCTATTTAGCTAGGTTACATTTTAGCCTGTAGCAGTTTCTTCTCATGTAGGCTCAGTGCTAAAAAATCACAAACTTTATTTCTTTGAAGCCAATCTACTATTAAGGATCCTTAGCCCAAATACAGTAATTCTTCTAATTCTAAACAAAAGGGCATAATCCTCTACTTTTCACATGGAAGCATACAATATTTTTCACAGTGTACATTTTAAAATATTAGGAAACAATCTTTTTACCACAGTTAATATTCCCACATTGTAACCTCCAATTGGTCAATATCCAGTCCTCATCTTCCTCAAACTATCTACAGCATTTAACAAGGTTGGTCATCCCCCTCCTTGAAATACTTTCTATCTACAGTTGTCTTCCAGCATACCACTCTCCCTTGCTTTTCCTCCTATCTCACTGGCATACTCAGTATTCTTTGCTAGTTCTTTCTCATCTCCCAAACCTCTCTAAACATGAGAGCGTCCCAGGGCTCAGATGTCTTCTCTATCTGTACTCACTACCTAGTAGGGACTAGACGATTTCATCCAGTCTCATACTTAAATGCTATCTATCTACATGCTGTCAATGCTCAACTTCCATCTCCAACCTGGACTTCTTTCCTTAATTCCAGAGATTCGTATATCCAACTGCCTACCTTGCATCTCCACTTGGATGTCTGATAAGCATCTCACATTTAAGATGACTAAAACTGAACTCCTGAATTCCCTGCCCTTCCACCTCAAGTCTTCCTCCCCATCTCAGTAAATGGCAACTGCATCCTTCCAAATGCTCAGGTCAAAAAACCCTAGCATATTCCTTGACTCAATAAAACAAAAACTAAAATGAAAAACACTGAAAGCACAATACAGAATTGTGTCATTTTCCATTCCTATAAAGAATTACCACTACAATGACAAGATACCAGGGATTTCATTGTGAGTGATATTACGATACTTACTGTTCAAACTTTAAGGATTTGTACTTAAGATTGCTGCTATCACAGCAGTTTCCTAACTAGTTCTGGAGACAATGAGAAATAGAAGGCCGGGAACTTCAACATACTCATATAATTGAAAACAATTATTCTAAAATATCTTTTATATTCTACAAGTACTACTTGCAATGGTACTACCTGCAACGAAGATTATTTTTTGCCTTGTATTTTTAATTTATCTAGATAATTACTCTTCCCTTATTAAGGAAGCATTCTAATTACCAATCCAAAAAACTTCTGTACAAATTTTGGAACTGAACAAAAGGAAATACTATCAAGAAAGCCTCCAAGGGAAATGGTGCGGAATGAGTATCTAAGAAGACAATGCATGGTTTTACACAGAAAGGATATTGCCATCATCCAAATAAACATTTATCTGGTTCCCGCTGGGCACTAGAAATTTGAAATGGTGATATCATACATTAAAGATAAAACTGGACAAGCAACATTTTGTTAATAAGTGAACAGAGTAAACTAGAAGAAAAAAGAACACTGCTGAATTACAATGTGCTGATACGTTAAATTTTTTAAAAACCAAGATATTCTAATGCATATATTTAACATTTTTTCATCCTATTAACATCGATCAAGTGGAAACAATCTAGGAAAAACCTAATAAAGTGGTAAACTGATCTTAATTGAAACCTGTCTGACACACAGAATGGGAGCAACATGCTGAAATCTATAAGCTTGATGTTTCCTTTATGTAAGAGGAACAAGTTTCATGAACGGACAACCTTGGATTTTTTGCCAACTAGCCCCCAATTATTAGTCACTGGCTTCACCTCAGTCTATCCTCCCACTAAGATTACATCAAATTTCTACTGTACATATTATATAGTACAGGAGTCCCAGAATTTAATCAATTAGCCTTAACTCATGGACTTTCAAATCACTAAGATTCCAAACACCTTTTTCTCGATCCACTAGATTTCTATAGTGTGTACTCCTTTGCATTCTCAATCTTTACTTTAGGCTCAGTCATCTTCCCATCTGTCTTGACAACGTAAGACTCTTTCACTCCAGAGCTGCCAATCAATCTCTTCTATTTATAACACCTCCAGTCACAAGTTTCAGTTTTGGATCTGAGCTGGCTGATAATTTCACCTTTTGACTCTCTCCCATCATTTCTTAAACCAATTACCTTTTTGCATTCCTAATTTCAAATCCTGAAGAACAATCCATCTCTACATCAAGTTTTAGCCTTTTCTATTTATTTTTCCCCTGGCTTCCTCAAATGACTAATATCCAAGCTTCTCCTAGTGCCCAATCCCCACAACTCTTACTATATTCTTAATTTCTGCTAGCCTATTACAAAACATTCCAAAATCATCTCTCTGACAGTAGACTCTGAACAACCCCTTCTATTCATCCCAACCACAAGAGTGATCCCATAAAGGGGAAGCTCTGTATGGAGTTTAGGAGACTGAACATGGTGAGGTGAACACAGACATATGTTGGCAACCAGCAAGGGGTATCAGAGGTCAAGTGGGTGGGAAGGGTGTCCTAGCAGAGAGATGGCTCAGCATGGAAAGTCAGAGCCTGATTAGGGTGAGAGAGCATTCACCAGTGGAGGCGGTCCTGTGTGGGTTACTGGGGCCTAATTTGGGGTAAGGAAGATGTCTACATGTAGGGGAAACTGTGGGGGAGGTGGCATGGCATGGAGAGTTAGTCCAAGCAACGTGAATAGGGCATCGACACAGAAGGCAAGCCTGACATTGGGAGTCAGAGCCTGAATGGGGTGAAGGTGGAGAGACATCCAAACCTGGAGGCCTAACAGTGTGGGATGCTGAAGCCCAAGCAAAGGGGTTATCAGAGAAAATTGTGGAGTCAGTAGTTTCAGAAATGCTCTCTTCTATAAAAGGAGAAAATCGGCAAAAAATTGTCAGAATCAACTTTATCAGGCCTCTGAAAATTAACCGAAGGCTTTGAGGATTCTGGGAGCATTTATTAAAAAAAAAAAAAAAAAGCTGAATATCAGTAAGAACAATGAGCTTTGTGGTATTTTAACTTGCAGTAGTCTCATCCCAGAGAAGCACTAGTGGTGCAGTGGTTAAGCACTTGGCTGCTAATCAAAAGCTTGGCGGTTCAAACCCACCAGCAGCTGTGCAAAAGAAAGATGTGGTAGTCTGCTTCTGTAAAGGTTACAACCTTGGAAATCCTATGGGGCAGTTCTAATCTGTCCTATAGGGTTGCTATGAGTCAGAATTGACTTGACAGCACTGAGTTTGGGTTTTGGTTTTAGTCCCATCCCCACTCTTCAGTTCCACGGTATCCTTGAAAAATGACAGTTCACATTCCCAGTAGCAGACTAGCAGCCACTGGAGGGAGCAGAACAGTGCTGGGCCTCTTTCAAAGCCTCATTCCCAAAGAATTGT